ACATCAACAAGTATTTATTGACATCAACACCAATTCCAATAGATCCGAATCCTTATTAATTTAATGTGTCAAGATTAGAGTCACGAGCCGACAGATTTTTTCAGTGACCACTGAAAAGGCGAACTTCAAGCGTCGCTCGGTTTCAAAGGTGGCCACCGAAGTTTTGGATGACCACTTCTTTGGTGACTCCATCGATTTTCGATGAACGTTCTTCCTCCCACCCCTGAATTTTTGGATGGCCACTCGAAAAGGGGCAATCTTATGTGTCATCCCATAGTTAGGATTAGGCAAGCGCAAAACGTCCGAAAAACTTCAGAATTGTCCCCTCATCGAGTTTAAACCACATACTGTTATTTTTCTTAACTTATAACTAAGAGTATTGTCTGCTTGAACTGCACTAACTGTAAGAATTTAAAAGAAAAAATAATTGTGAACGACTGGTGTACAAGCACGAAACATGTATGCTTTGGATTGGAAGTCGCATCGTAAAGCGATCACAACGAAGGAAATAATCATTCGTACGCGGGCCATACGATGCCAAATAATAAAATGCGATCATTATAAAATTGTGCTTGCTCATTTCATGAAAGTACAAATACGTGTAATGAACAATTCACAACCAGATGCCAACTGCACATGAAAGTCACGCTATGCAAACAAGCGGATAATCAAAAATCCAAAAGATGAGAAAATAAATTTGTGGAACACAATTTGAAAACATTTTCAGTGCATTAAAATAAACGGAAAGATCCATTCTTGAAATATTCAAATTTTGCGATGAAATTCCCAAGATGAAATCATAAAATAAGCGAGACAATGAAATAAACTCTGACACAAACTCACTATCAGATATTCGAAAAAGTCGCAGATAACAATCAAAACACTGCCCCACAACGATGAATTGGATTATTACGTTTCAAATGGATAACGATAGGTGACGACTGATCACATCGTCCATCTGTTATTCAGAGACAATTATTCAGTCGAATTCACCGAAACAAAAAGACAGTGGGATAACTCTCACTCTCTGTTAACGAATGCAGTAGTGTACTAATCAGCCTCTCGGAAAAAACAAAAAATAATCTGATCCCAATCTTTTTCCCAACTGAACTCCGAAAATTGACACATTTTTTAAGAAAATTTTTGATATTACTGCGATAAAGTTCGAAACAAGAATATTCGTATTTTCAATGGACTGCCGATTTGTTTCAACCTCATTATTTACAAAATTCTGAACACTCTATTCCAAACAAAAATGCACTGTATGAACTGGCACATGTAATGCTAACATAAGCTGAACATGCTCGCTTTGTATTACAAAAAAAAATACAAAAATGAATCAGCAATCTCTATTCAATTCGAATTTTGATAAAATTTCATGTGTTCTTAAGAATACACTTCAAATTTTTATTCTTCCAACTGTTTTCAGTTCAATTCATCGAAATTCTGCGTAAGAAGCTCGACAGTGCAATGTGTGAAAGATTCAAACCATTTACTAACCACTGACAAAAGTACGAACAATTTCACGGAAAGTAACGAAACAAAATGAAAACCAAGTTCAATGAGGTAAACAATAATGGCAATAAGATACCAAATAGCTGGAAGCAAATTGAAAGAATGGTTCAAAAGTTTAATGTGATTGTCACGTAATTTTCAGTATGAGATTAGTATTACAGACATATGAAAACGTAATAATAATCATAACGAATGCAATATGAATGATCAATCATCATCAATCAACATCATTATAACTGGTCACCATCGAATATGCATTATCTTCTTATCATATCCAAAATATTCGTGTGTCGATAACTGCTTTGATCCCTGCAATAGGACTTTATTAAAATACCACCACAAATGGAAAGATGAAAAGAATATTCGAATTGTATAGAATTTTAATGAACCACACGGATCACAAAATTTACACACTATCATTCTTTCGAAACAGAGCTGTGCATATCCATATCGGGAATGGATCTACCACCCGTTAACAACTCCTTCCAATTCACGGGCTAAACGTCACCATCTAAGTAATCACATCGTTTTGGTAATCCTAGTGCCAACTCACAGACCCTGATGAGAACGGGAGATTTGATGGCACTGAACTAATAATAATCGAACAATCGAATTAGTAAATAAACAAATAACTCAGAAGAAAAAAANAAAAAAAGGAGGATTAAGCAAAAAGAGGGGAAATCGAAACAGACTTGAGACAGTCGTCGTGACGTTTATATTCTAAGATGGCGTTAACAGGCAGATTCAATACTCTTCTCAGTGTATCGCGAATGCGATTCGTTGTACCCACATTATCAGCGGTTCGATTCCACAGTGACACTATGTCCTCCTTAATTTTATTCAATTCAATTCAGGTTACGCGTCACTTCAGTTATTCAATTATTGATACGACTATTGCGACGGTTAGATTCAATTACGATCAGAACACCAACTAAAACACATTCGATGAATTCAAATACATTTCCGAATCACCTAATGATGAGTGGTACTGAAACAGACGAATGCATGAATTAGTGAAGGATGTTAAACCTAACGCATAACCATCAAACATCAATCAAAACCTGATTCCGAATCGAACAAACCGCGCCACATATCTCTTCACCAACCAAAAACTGTTCACCTATCATCGCCAACAAAAGATTCTCCCAAATCCTCGACGAAAGTCCTTTCCGTAGTCGTAGAATCCATTTCCCACCCTTCAAAGAACAGTCATATTCATTGTGCTCGTTGGAAACAACATCAACACAAGTATATTCTTGGTCGAAACTTGTACTGAGGGGAGCATCTTCCGTTACATTTTCGGGTACGCTATTTCGTCGAACAAATTCATTCAACCGAAATGAACGCTTTGGAAAGCGCAGATGCTTCGTATGGACAAGCAGAATAAGATGAGGCAGTGAAAATGATAAGACGAAGACAAACCTTCCGATTAGCCGCGTCCTCCCAAACAGGCTTGATTCCTTGTTTGAACATATGAAAGTCAACTTTGTCTGTAATATCTACAAGATGAAATATTAAATTACATACCGTCAGTAATTTACCATCCCATCTTTAATGAATTCGATCTGAGCATTTTCATCGAATCAGCTTGTGATATATTGTGACACAGATCATTCAGAAAGTAAGCAATCAGCTGAGTTAGTTAACTCTTGCGCTGATAAAAGTGAATAAAAAGGTCCGTATATTTTAAGAAAAGAAAAAATACTACTACTAATAACAATAATAATAATACCAGAAGGACGCTTAATATGTCGATAGGTGTTCCAGAACTGTTCAACTGAATTGAAGGAAGCAACAGGCTGGACATATGCAGCATATTCTTCCGGGTCAAATTTACCTTGAGGTCTCACAAAATACGAGAATACATAAGTGAATTCTAATGGATGCTCATCGCTACGACACGGCAACGAACTCTAAATTCAATATGATGAATCTTGCATACTGACAAATGTATTGATGAAAGCTTATCAACTCTAAGAAATCGAAAAAGGCTGCGAAGGCCAAAAAAAAATTTAGCGAATCAACTACGAGATGATTTATATTAAATCCTAATGACATCAAAAATGATGTTGTTTTATAGTGCATAATATCGGGAGTGCGGAATTGCCGATCCTGGGTCAGCGGGCCTGACCAAGAATTGCTCGACGCCGCCAACATTTGTCGGGCCGGGTTAAAAATCTGCGTAGGTCGAGTGAATCTTTGCCCAGGCCCGGTGTCCTGGCATCGTCAATTCCACAGTCCCCATGATTACACTAGTTGAAGTCTCAACCTAAATACACTCCCATCTCATATGCTAGAATAAATTTCACAAGTAAAAAACTCGAATTACTGATTTTAGTCAGAAAATTGCCACAACAACTTACAACAAACTGTTGCCTTTCATCTTTCGTTTCCATGTCGCTTTCATGAACGGCACTCAAAACATCGGTCATATTTGCAAATTTATGATTAAATACAGGCTGAAATGCATGAAGGAACAGGACTCATTCTTTCCATCAGCTTATTAACCGATGCGTCGATATGTAGTAAGCTGATCAATGATATGTGATAGAGCATAAAACGTATGGTGACATAACAGAGGATATGGTAAGAAAAACATGTCGTCACGTAATTTTAGTTTAAACAGATCCCCTAAAGCTATGACCTCGTGAACAGGAATGAGTTCTTTTGGTAACATTTATATGAGCCTTAGTTACTTGCCCCCATCTAAACTTTTGGGTATATTCATCGAGTGAATATTTATTCATTTATTCACGAATAACGGTTTCCCATAAACAGATAAATCTGAACGTAACAACAATAAATGAATACACCGTATCAAGAACAGTCACAGAGGGAGGGATTGAACGGAAATCATGACGCACGTATTGTGAGAAGACTTCACTGACATCCCCAGATCAACATTATCGCATCAAACACAATCCACAGATGAAACCTCAAAGATTTAGTATTATGACTACAAAGAGGTAGTTCCATCAGAAGTACTTTGCATTTTCAGTCGGTAAAATAAGAACAGCATCTCGTTCGCTCACATTCGCAATTGAATGTACAGTGGAGGGTAAGCTGACAGTTCGCCAAGTAAGAACAGAATGACAGTTCGCCAAATAATGGAATTCTCATTTTTAATAGACAGGTATTCAGCAATGTGAATTTGTTACTCATTAGGCGTGAATAAATCCAGGCAGTTTATGTATCGTTTATTAGTGCAGATCCGGGAGAATGAAACAAGGTTTGGTAATTTCGTATTTTAGGTTGGCAAAATCAAAACGGCATTTCCTCTACATCCGCAATTGAACATGATGCTTAATTAGAGTACAGCAAGAAATGTTCGCACGGACGAAATGCCATTGTGATTTTACCAACCTGAGTTGCAACCATTTTACCATTTTACCTGACGTTTATGCATTGAACTGTAGTAAATGTAAATTCGAGATTTTCCATTTCGCTTGAAGTACGAAACTTCGAAACATTTAAAATTGGAACTCAAGGAAAATTCGCAACCATGATATGTACCATCTTGTAGCCGAGATTTAGTGCCTCAGGAATAGTGTCGGTTGCCGATCGGTTGTAACTGCCCGGCGGTTTGCCACCGCCACCAACCCAGCACGCTCTGTCGGTTGCGGTCGGTGGTCACCGACGGGCCGGTAATCACCGCAACTCGGTATTCACCGACCGTCGGGGACCACCGCAAAACCGTCGGTGATTATCGACCTAACTCAGGAATCTGTATTAATCTTTGACGCCAACTGTTGGGTTACGAGAGTTATGCCACTTGATCAGTGGTGATGTTGAATAGTCACAATTGGTGTAGATACCGGAGTAATTAAAATTCTCTCTGCCCTGAGAGAAAAAATTAGGAAGAAAGATGCATATCATCTTATAGTCGAGATTTGCTAGTTTCCAAAAATGTAATAAATTTGTTGAATTGTGGAAGAAATTTATTATTCCCATTATTTTATTATCCACACGCATTATGAATGTATCACATACCATGATAAAACCATTCGATGGGGTCAGACAAGTGACTATGAGCTCATTGAGACCTGATACGAACATGTGTTATGCAGAGTAACTCTACGTGCAGAATAGGATGGCAAAATAATTCCACGGGATGGGGCGATTAAATATGAGTACTAGTCAATAGAGTGTGTTTGTTGTATCGTGCAAAGCCATAGGACAAGGAAAGCATGAATCCACTAAAAGAAGCACGAAAACACGAAAAAACTACAAGAAAGCAGGAGGATAATCGAGTAAAACAATGCCAAAACGAACGGAAGGTTCAACGAATTTACTTTTTTCCGGAATAACCACGTTCACTTACGACAAACACAATTATTCATAAGTCCAATCACTGGCAGGTTCACTTAAGCGATGTTACTCATTGTCTGTCCTATACACCGCCGACAAGCGGAACATTCACATAACTTGACCAGTTACGAATCTAGAAGTAAAAGCTCTTCTTTAGGGGCCACAGAAACGAAAGTGATCGGTAATTTGGGTTAGAGTAGAGAAATCTGATGTTGGCTGATTCTGCCGAGCTGCACTGGCGTTGTTCGGACTGGCTATTGATGAGTTGCAGGCCAACATGGGTGCTCGAACCACTACTTTATAAGTAATCAAATGCGCGAACAGATGGTTATTGATATTAACAGAGAAAGATCCATTCGACTGAGAGCGACTATTATGAATACGAAAATGAAGCTATTGCCGCGTGAGATGACAACTTATTCATATTACGTAAACAACTATTAATGCGAGATGTTGATATCACAGTCAAAGAAAACACAACATAATTACAGACATCGTAGTACTGAACGTCTGATGTAAGAGGGTTGGAGACAATTTCAGAAACTACAAAATTTGTTTCCTAATTCAAACAAGATGGAATTTTAGGAGAACATTGAATCGTGTAGTTCCTCAATATCACCATCACGTTCTTGTTGCCGTCTCTGCAAATTTCAATCAGATTATGAAATACAAAAATGCTTTTTTTAAATGCAATATTAAATGAATTAATTCTTGAAGTATCCTATTCTTTCTAATAGAATCTCAGTTTTTTACGGAAACGGTTGATTTATAAAGATGAGATGTAGAATGGGAAGTTTAACAATATCAATCTGCTGTTTTTT